TCCAACTGAAATGAAGTCGGGCTGTTGCCCACGGAGTGGCCGTGCGTCGGCGGCAGAACGAGTCACCCAGCCAGGCTGACCGTACGAGAGACCCCGGCAAACAGAGCAGCCGTCCGGAGAAGTCTGGGGCCCTGGCTGCAAGTACTGGCAGCTACATGAGAGCGTGTTGCACGGCGAGCGCCGGGCTGACGGGGAATTCTCAGCCACCCTCTGCTGGGCGCCGGGCCCGGCGACGCCGAAACGGAAGGGAAGAGGGCTGGACACTGCAGCAGCCCCCCCCCCTTAATCGGTTAAACAATGTGTGTAACTGGTTAGCTAATTAAACAGGATTTTACATCCCTCGTCTGAGTCTCCGAGCTCTGTGCCCAAGACTCTTCCCGCCAGCCCTCTCCGGGGCACTGCTTAGCCCCTGGACTTCAGCCTGGCCTTGGCTCCTCCGTTTGCCCGTGTCTGGCCAGACTACACCTCCCTCCTGCCTGATTCCTTCCCATGGCACGATTCCCCACTCAGGCGGGCTCGTGCCACTCACTCCTCGCTCTGACTCCACTGGGGAACGTGTCTTTCCCATTCTTTCCAGCTGTGGCCGGCTCTCTGCCGCAGTCCTGGCCCACAGGAGCCCAGCCATGCTGCCCTTTCCAGCCATCTGCTGGCCTCACTGGGACTCCACCAGAGGCCTCGGCCAGTTCCTGCCCTTCCCAAGCTTGGGCCAGTGGCCTTTTTGCTCTGCGGGCCCTGCAGACAGGGTGACATGAGACAGATCCTGCTGTACAAGTCACCCTTTGGCCCAGCCGTAGGTGCTGGGGACTGGCAGCCAGGTTTCCTGTGGCAGGAGAAATCATCGACACGGAGTCGGGGGAAGTTCTTGGTGTAATTTCGCCTACCAGTCCCTGAACAGAGCTGGTCACAAATGGCATGCAGGCCAGGCCCTTTTCCAGGGAGCTCAGAGAAACCCCAGTGCCTGGCTCCCAGCACGGAACCCCACCCCAAGAACTGCCTCTAATTAGTAAAATGAACGCGGAGAACAAAATCCCCTTGCTGACTGCAGCAGCTTCCCCCAGGAATCTGCCCCACAGTGCGGGGCCATTGACAAGGGCCATTTCCCAGTGGAACGGAAGGTGTTTATTTATGCTGGGGACTAAGTTTTGGTGAGAGGCAGAGCTGCAGAATTGCCTCCTTGGTTCCAGCTTGCTTTTTGGTTGCAAGTGCATTCTGCTGCGTGCTGTCACGAGGACTCACACCTCCCGGGTGAATCAGTCCCTCCGGCTTTGAACCAGAACTATTCGCTTTCAGGCATAAATCTTGCAAGTGTTCCTGGCACTCTCCGAAAGCACAGGACATCTGGTTTCCTCTTATTTTGCAAAACCGAAGTGGAATACAGCGCTGGTTCCAAAAGGACTTCACATGAGCGATGGAATCCCTCCCAGCATTTCCAAAGTAATCGCAGCCCTGCCTGTCACACTCAGCGCTGAGTTATTCTCTCACAAGTAGTTCACAGGAAGCCGTTCTTGAAGTAAGAATGTATTTATTAGGATGAAGGGCTCCAGAGTCTGGTCACATGAAAAGCCAGATCTGCAGAAAGTTTGATCTGCACTGGACAGATCTTACAAAGACTGTCCCATCAAAACCATTGGAAGGCTTGTCTGGAAGCCACATTCAGCCCGAATCCGTAGCTCAACAGGAATACATTTAATCCAGGCGAATCCTAGTAAAACTCATTTCTTGCAGTTCACGCAGATTTTACCAAGAACAGGGAATGCAATGTACTGGGAGGGTTGATTTCAGTGCTTACCCCTTGTGATCCGAGGGCAGTGCTAACCAACAAGGACCAAAATACTGGAAAAGGCAGAAAAATGTGCATGACGTCCAGCTACAGCGGGGAGACTTTGTGTTCAGCTTTGTGCACATGTGGAAATAACTCGCCTGCCACCGAGATTCCTGATCAGTAATACGGGATCTCAGTCTGTCTCCTTAAACGCTCATTTTGAGATTTTTTTCCCACGGTAATAACCCCACCAGGAGAGATGGTTTAGCAAATCAGAGGCTAGCAGAAGGGGGTTGGGCCTTGCAGAGTGAAACAGCATCACAAGGGATTGCGCAACAACCAGTAAAACACAGAATGGCTTCTTTTGGGGCGGGCCATGTCTTTTTACAACCTTGACGTGCTGTATGTGCTGGAAACGAGTTCTCTGAGACAGGAAATTTCCCCTTGGAATGCTCGTTTTCAGTCACCAGGTTGATTTATGGGCCGCGCCCGTGCAGAGCATCTCCGTGGAATGGCACGGGTGGGTCTGGAATCTGCGGATGAAAAGTGCTCGGGAAGAGTGGGGCAGGGTGACCCTGTAGCCGTTGCCTGTGATGAGTACCTGCGGCCGTGTTCCCAGGGTAACGACAGTACTCAGCGAGCATTGCTGTGCCTCAGTATTCTGGTTGCCGTTGCTGCGAGTCAGAGCGGGGGAAGAGACAAGGTAATTCCCGTATTTGGAGGGCCCTGTCCCCTCCCATCCAGCAGCTGTTGATTGGCACTGGAGTGGTTTTCGCCTTCTCTGCAGACGTTAGGTGATGGAAGCCGTCCTGTGTGCGTAAGGGGATTGCTAGTGCCCCTGCTACCCAACATCCTGCTTTGTTGTTGGCCCTTTGCACTCCCAGGAACCAGACGCTGAGCGCTCCCGCTGACTCCAGTGCCTCAGCACCCGTCGGAATTTGGCCTATTGCCATTTGTTGACAGAGGGTACTAAGCGCTAGACCCAGGTGGCTGATATTCTTGTGGTCTGTACCCTGGAGCAACAATCTAGAACCTCCAGGGCCCCCCACCATGACTGGAGAGGTGCACACGGGCCTCTTCGCCTTGAATGGTCCCTTGAAATATGTGTTGTCTCCTCAGCTAAACAGCCTGCCTTGCCTCACACGCAGTTGTCATCACGAAATACATTGCCCAGACCTGAAAGAGAGTTCTGTGGAAGCCAGCAGCTTTCCGCAGAAGTTGGTCTCATAAAAGATATTACCTCACCCTCTGGTCTGTCTCTCGTGCCCTGGGACCAAGACGGCTACCACAAGGCTGCACAGGACTCAGACAAGGCCCTCACGCAGGAAAGGTAGGGCTGCTCTTTGTCCTTGGAAAAACACTCTCACCGGCTGAGTTCCAGGTGCCCAGAAGGCCAGGTGGCGCAGCAGGCCATGTGCACTTTCGGGAGCCTGTTTGCCTGGGCTGAAGAGCTGACATAAGAGGGCAGGCTGAAATGGATTCAGGGGACACGGCCCATCTTCTCAAACCACCGTAGAATCTGGCCGGATGAGCAGTCTCTGCCGAGCAGCATGGGCGGGGCCGCTGTGTGGGCAGAAGCTGACCCAGTCTCTACCTGTTTGATTTGGCCTCAGCAAATGCAACTGGTGAGAACCAAATACACCACTTGAACTTTGTGTGTATTGGGGGAGGTCTGTATTCCAACTCTAGCTCGTTCACCCTCCCCTTTTATACGGTAACCAGAAAACGACCCATGTGACTGGAGCAAGCTCATCCAGGGTGACTAGCCCCTCCCCCTGCCCACCTCCTCACCATTCACCTGCATACGACTGTGATAATTGTCTACAAATATGCCTTGAAATGGCCATTTTCAAACTAAGAGCTCCCCGCTCATCTCTGACTGTGATAATTGTCTACAAATATGCCTTGAAATGGACATTTTAAAACTAAGAGCTCCCCGATCGTCTCCTATCCCTGCACAATCTAGCTACACGGTAGGCATGGAGAGTGGCGGGTATAGGGTAGAATTGTGGCTAACGTGTGTTTAAACCAGGCATCCCTGGGGAGTTGGGAAGCAGGTCTGCCTCCACACAGAAATGCGCATTTGGTACCCTGACCAGAAGATCTTACACAGAAATGCGCATTTGGTACCCTGACCAGACGATCTTCAAGCCCAGACAACGAATTTCCTGGGTAAGCAGTAAATCAATAGGGCCATCCAGGCAGCAGGGGAAGGGGATGGCAGGAAACAGAGCACCTTGTATTTGAGCAAACAGGAGGGGAGGATGAAAGAGTTTCCTTCACTACCAGCCTTCATGTCCCCTTCCTCACAGCCTGAATAGACTTCACTTTGCGGGGTCACACTCAGAAGAATCCACTTTAAGGTTCACTGGGCTATAAAGACGGGGGAGAGTCTGAACTGCATGGGATAAGCAACTGAGTCGTCTGATTGTATGCAAGATTACAGTATTAGAAGTCTATGGGGTGGGGTCTTCTGAAAGCTGATGACACCCCGGCGATGAATATCATTGTGAAAGGTGCATGAGCATTCTGAGGAAATATGGGTACTTAATGATGTGGTCTTTTTAAAGTCTGTGGCCAAACCAGGAGGAACCAGGTTCCTTCCCAGACAGGAGGGGGGGAAAACTACTTACCTGTCTTCTACGTAAATGAACCATGATGGAATCAAGACCACGGAAGCTGTTTCCAGACCAAGGGGTGGGAGGAAGGAAAGAAAAGCACAAAGTCACCTTGCCTCTTGGAACAAAGTCCCTGAACTTTAGAAGATCTAAGCAGAGACAGAAGCCCTCTTTGGCACCCACCACTAGACAGCCACTAGGGAACAGAGCTCTTGCGAGCTGAGAAAGATGAGTTCTTCGACCCTGGGGCCGTGGGGGAGTGGTTTGAAGTCTCTGGAAACTGAATGTAGTTGAGAAACCATCATGAAGCACATCTGCACCTTGCTGGTTTTGTTGATGTTAGATGCCTGGTTTCATGCTGCTTTGCCTGCAACGCGTATCCAATTTTATTCTTTTTATGTGGAATCCCTTAACCTCTGTCCTATGGTTAGCACATTTGTGGTACAGCCGCTCCCCGACTTACGAACAAGTTACGGACCAACACTTGGTCCGTAACTCGAAGTGTTCGTAACTCAGGTCCCATAGAGTTACATGGCGACCGCGCTGTTCGTAAGCGCAGATTGCCGTTTATAACTCGGGTCTGCATTTACGACCGCTTTGGTAGTAAGTGCAGGTGGTTGTAAGTGGAGGTGGTCGTAACTCGGGGAGTGGCTGTATTTTTGTACTATAAACCAACTCAGTGCTGCCTTTAAATTGAAGGGTGTCTTTACCCCCCTTCGGTTAGCAAGCTGTGACGTGCTTTTGTGTCCTTAGAGGAACACACAAAGCTTACCAATTTTTTGAGCTGCCCAGGTGAGGACTGGACATTGCAGAACACATGGTTTGGGGAACATTTGGGACGGGGAGTGTGTTGGGGTCACCTGGCTTGTTGTAACCCAGGCTGGTGAAAGCCAGAGCAGGCTTGTGGGGGTGTATGCAGGCAGCTGGGGTCAGAGGTGCTGGACCAGGGCTGTGGCTGTCCCAAACTCCCTGGGTGTGACCTGCAAGAGCCCATGCTGGGAGATACAGCAGCCAAGCATTGTGAGGCCTCCAGGGGTGCATGGCAGGAGATGACACAGCCTCTCACAGGTCTGGCTTGCTTCCCTGAACTGTCCCAGCCAGGGTCTGGCTTTTCTGCTATCTCGTTCTATCAGTTGGATTTGATCCACCTGGCAGTTGTCTTTGCTTAGGAAGGGCTCCAGCAAAGGGCGGACTGGTGGTCTGGTGCCCGAGGGTCCCATGCCTAAGTGCCTGGCACTTGCTGGTGCAGATCCACTGACTTGGTCTTTCTGAGGGACTGAACTTCACCCGATTCTCCTTGTTTTTAAATAAACCGGGGTGACACATAGCGTGTGAGCAGGGGAAGCGGCCGCTGAGCGAGCGACTTTCTAGCTCTGCTTCCTGAGCTGTCCCTCAGCTAAAAGGACCTAGCGCGCGGGCGGGCGTGCAGGCGAAGTACTTGCTCAGCGCTGACACATCCCTCTCTCTCTCTTTCACAGAGCTGTCTCAACAAACAGCAACTCCTGGCCGCCATCCGCCAAATGCAGCAGTTCTTAAAGGGGCAGGAAACGCGGTTTGCAGAGGGAGTGCGTGTCATGAAGAACCGGCTGATAACGCTACAGAACTCGGTCACGAAAGCCGCCCCGGACCCACAACCTGGTAAAAACCCACCCGTGGCCTTTCAGCAATGAGAGCAGCCATAGAACATCTGGCTGAGTGTACAACAGGCCGCTTCCCCCTTGGCAGGCACAACGAGGGCCTGTATCCTGCTGCCCACCATGCCACGCTGGACTGCCAGGGCATAGGGGAGCTGTTGTCTCTCTCTCTTCCCCACCCTCCACTTGAACAGAAGGGGGATGTGTGTCCCACCCAAATGGCTCCCTACATTGTGGGACAGCCTCAGTGCACCCTTTCTCCCCATCCCAGTGCCTCCATCTCCTCCCATGGTTATACACGGCACTTTGCATGCGCATCAGTGGATAAGAGATCTGCTTGTTCAGTGTGACATGCTCTTCCCACCCGTCCCGCTCCAGCCTTAGTAACTATCTGACCCTAGGTACTCAGAGCACTCACTCGCTACAACCTCTTTCCGGTGTCTCTCCCGGGGCACTGCTCGCACTCCATATGCAGTGGAAACGCGTCACAACAAAGAAGCCTCTCTGCGGTCTATAACAATACTCGGTGTCCTCAGCACACGATGGGTCGAAACGTTTTGTGTGGAAAACAATGGCAAGGGAGAGCTTTGCTTCTCCTGCACGGTTTGCAGTGTCATGACAGGGCAGAAACCGAGAGGGGTCAGGTGAAAGGTGTGTTTCAGAGTCTTTTGAGCCCTCCCACCTCGTTATTACTTAACTCTCCCATGTCTGTGGAGAGGAAAGTAGTTTCCTATTGACTTTCAAGTTTCCCAGACTTTCAAGTTCCTCAGGAAGAGAAGCAGAGATAACATTTCTCAATTGCTTAAATGACTGCTTCTTGGAGCAGCTGGTGCAGGAACCCACAAGGGGAGAGGCAATTCTCGATTTAGTCCTGAGTGGAGCGCAGGATCAGATCCAGGATATAACCGTTACAGGACCGCTTGGGAATAGTGACCATAATATAATAACATTCAACATTCCTGTGGTGGGAAGAACACCTCAGCAGTCCAGCACCCTGGCATTTCATTTTAAAAAGGGGAATTACACAAAAATGAGGAGGTTAGTTAAACAGAAATTAAAAGGCACAGTGACTAGAGCCAACTCCCTGAAAGCTGCATGGAAACTTTTTAAAGACACCATAATAGAGGCCCAACTTAAATGTATACCCCAAATTAAAAAACATAGCAAGAGACCTAAAAAAGAGTCACCGTGGCTTAACCACCATGTAAAAGAAGCAGTGAGGGACAAAAAGGTATCTTTTAAGAAGTGGAAGTCCAGTCCTAGTGAGATAAATAGAAGAGAACATAAACACTGTCAAATCAAGTGTAAAAATGTAATAAGAAAAGCAAAAAAAGATTTTGAGGAACAGCTAGCCAAAAACTCAAAAAGAAATAACAAAATGTTTTTTAAGTACATTAGAAGCAGGAAGCCTGCTAAAAAATCTGTGGGTCCCCTAGAAGATCGAGCTATAAAAGGAGCAATCAAGGACGATAAAGCCATTGCGGAGAAACTAAATGATTTCTTTACTTCAGTCTTCACGGCTGAGGACGCTGGGGAGATTCCTGAATCTGCACCGTCCTTTGTGGGTGATGAATCCGCTATTCTGAAATAACTTTGCTGTGCAGACACAGCCTCTGGCGGAAAGGATGAACAACTACTTATGAGTCTTAGACCAGTAAGTGTTTCAAATAAGTAGGCTGCTCCTTCTGTTGTCTGGCAGGGGTCAGCCATGAGAAGGAAGCTGGAGCAGATCCTGCCCTTAGATAAGACTTCTGCGTTCTCTATCACCTGACTAATTCATGAACTGTAGAGCTCCCCTCAGGCACTTAGCTGGGAAATCTCAGTAACTCGGTCCCTCTCCCACCCTTCTGCCTCAGCCAGACTCTGACCCTCCAAGTCCAAGATGGGAAAACCTTTTCCCTTCAGGCCAGCCCTTCTCTGTAGCAAAACCATTGTTTTACTGATACACCTCAGATTTCAAGACAATCACAGTTAATGACTTTTGTGTTAGCTCTTCACAGAGGTGTGAAGCATTACCATAAGATGCTCTTGATCTATCCTTGACATCTCTAGGTAACTACACTGACATGCTCAAAATGTAGGTCACATTTCAGAATGGTGATTATGCTGTCAAGTTAAGGTCATGTTTTATGAGACAACACCAACCCATTACAACTCATCCTTGCTACCATTGTTCTTTCAGCAAGGAATCCAGCTAGTGCTAATCACTTGTTACCTTCTCACAGCTGAGAAAAGGAACTCCCGCCCATTCACATGTTAGGAAATCCACCTTTAGGAACTACCAGATCTGACCAGGGTCTGAAGGTTGGAATGATGATTCCTCAAGCCTCTTCCAGTAACCTGGAACTATGCTTGTGGCCTAGCCATGCTAATGGATTTTTTTCTTTTAGTGAAAAAACTATGGCAGAGGGTGGATTTCACAGCCCTTGGATTTAGAAGAACTTGTATTCAATGAAGAACTGTTAAAAAAAGTTTCACTGGATGCTAATTTTACTGTGCATACCCTGCTGGCACAAAACACCACAATAGCACTAGAATCCTATGATACTTTTTACTATTTTTTCCGTTTGATAGATACAGTTCTCTGCAAAAGAATGTCCTTCCAAGCCTCAAGGGCCGTGAGACTCTAAAGGTAGTTATGGATAAATGTGTTATGTGATTTAAAATATATTTTTCCAACACTGCACCTTAAGGGAAACTGATGCCCAAAAATATGTTTGAGCAATTCACAACTGAGGGGGATATGATAGAGGTCTATAAAATCATGAGTGGTGTGGAGAGGGCAGATAAAGAAAAGTTATTTATTAGTTCCCTAAATAGAAGGACTAGAGGACACCAAATGAAATTAATGGGGAGCAGGTTTAAAACTAATAAAAGAAAGTTCTTCTTCACACAGTGTGTAGTCAACCTGTGGAACTCCTTGCCAGAGGAGGCTGTGAAGGCTAGGACTATAATAGAGTTTAAAGAGAAGCTAGATAATTTCCTGGAGGTTAGGTCCATAAAAGGCTATTAGCCAGGGGATAAAATGGTGTCCTTGGCCTCTGTCTGTCAGAGGCTAGAGGCTGGAGAGGGATGGCAGGAGACAAATCGCTTGATCGTTGTCTTCAGTCCACCCTCTCTGGGGCACCTGGTGCTGGCCACTGTCAGTAGACAGGATACTGGGCTAGATGGACCTTTGGTCTGACCCAGTACGGCCGTTCTTATGTTCTTATGTTTTACATTGCTGGTGTGCAAAATGAGAAAGGTAATAGAGACATTTTAAACAGAGGGCTAGGGGAAAGCCAATAGGCAGGTAAGAGGCACCAGTTTGTCCTGAGAGCTCCCTAGGGGAGGAGTTATTAAAAGGGATCCTTAATATCCCAGTGAAGAGGAGAGGCTAGAAGATGATTCAGTACGCTTAGGAGATACAGATGAATGAAAAAGAGTCCGACTGAATTACATCACAGGAAGGCAGACGGTTAAACACGGATACTTAAGTCCTTATATACAAATGCTAGCCATGTAAATACAAAGACGGGTAACATGAGAGTGCCTCATATTAAATGAGCCTATTGATGTTGCAGGCATCTTGGTGGAAAAATTGATAATCAGTGGGACATGATATTACCAGGGTACAAAATATATATTGACAGAGTAGGACATGCAGGTGGGAGAGAGGCATTATATGTGAAACAAAGCATCTTAGAGTAACTCAAACGGTACCATAGACTCTCTACGGAGAGAAATTTCACGCTTGAACAATAAGAGCAAAGCAGGAATAAATCACTGACCACCTACCCAATGTGATGATGGTGATGGTGAAATGCTCAGGGAGAGAGGGACAAAACCTGAAAACCCAATAATAATGGGAGCTTTCAATTATCCCCATGTTGCCACAGGGTGGGACGCAGAGATACAATTTCCAGCCGTCATTAAATAACTGCTTCCTGGATCGTTTTGTCCTGTTCCCCACAAGGAGAGAGGCAATTCTTGGTTTAGTCCTAAGTGGTGCATAGGATCATGTCCAAGAGATGAATGTAGCTGAATGGCTTGATAATCGCAGACATCATGTAATTTAATACAACATCCTTGTAGGGTGGAAAATACCCAAGAACCCCACCGCAGGAGCATTTAACTTCGAAAAGGGAACGATACAAAAATGAGGAAGTGAGTTAAACAGAAATTAAAAGGAAGCCTCCCAAAAGTGGCATGCCTAAAAGCTTCATGGAAACTATTCCGAAACACCATCACAGAGACTTGAACAACGTGTCATTTGTAAAAATAAAATAAAAATAAAGCAGGATCAAAAAAGTCATCAAAGCTAAACAGCAGAGGAAAACTCAGAGGCAAACAAGTATCCTCTAAAATTTGGAAGTCAAATAGAAGGAAGCACGAACCCTGGCAAGGCAACTGTAAAATATAAAAGCTTCAGAGGAGGACCCGGGTTAGTCTGTAACTGGAAAAACTTAAAAAACAACAAATAGTCTAGCAGCACCTTAGAGACTAATAAAACATGTACATGGGATCATGTGCTTTCATGAGCACAACCCACTTTTTCAGATGAATGAAGTTATTAAAGGTTTTGTTTCTAATGGCATGTCTAGACTACGGGTTTTTTTCGAAAGGAGATATCCAAATTCTGTGCTAATTTGCATATCTTCTTCCAATCACTTTTTCGAAAGCAGGTTTTTCGAAAGTGAAAGTAGTCTGGACGCGGTTTTTTCAGGAAGAAACCCTTTTTCCAAAAAACCCACTCTTCCTTAAAAAAAGGAGATTTACACAGTTTTTTGAAAAAGGGTTTTTTTCTGAAAAAAAGCATCCAGAGTACTTTCACTTTTGAAAAACCCACTTTCGAAAAAGCAATCGGAAGAAGATATGCAAAGTAGCGCCAAATTTGCATATCTCCTTGGGGGGGTGGGGAGGGGGATGTAGTTGGTGCCCTTAATAAAGAGCAGAGGTGAGGGAGAGAAGGAAAAAGAAGGGGGAAAAGGGAGAAGAATAGTCAATTGGAGTGTCCATGCTAAA